CTCGGAGCCAAATAAGACAGCTATCCAGGTGGCTCCCCAATCTCTCACATCCCTCAAAATGGTGCACAGTCAAATCATAAAATAACCATATATTTAACAAAAATCAACTTTTGACGCATGAAATTCAATATGAACTAATAATTTTCTGGTTGAATTTAGCATGAGTCAATCAATATAGATGCAGTTGGACATCAATGGTCACCAGTAACCTCTCCAAACACAAAACATGCCTTTTCTCCATGATAAAGTTTGGAATTTTGTCCATTTTTCTTCAGAGCCCCACAAGCCAGCACACATACTCATTAAAGGAACTGCTCATTTAAAGGTGACCTAGAATGGTTGAACGGGGTATTTATCCTTGTTCTGTGATGTGACATATAGACAACAAAATTTTGGTTGGGTCTGTAATGCCTCAGAAACTTCCTAAAAACCTCTCTCAAAAAGCTATGTTAGGGTGGGGGATTTTGAACGCATTGTTTTGCTCCTATTTGGTGACCTTTTGGGCTTAACTGGCAACCTCATTGTCAAATACAAGCACTTGACGCTGATTGGCTGGCTTTGCTGCCACTCAAAAGAATGTCACTTCGCCCAGAGCGGTAGGGAAAATGGAAAGCACTCGCCGGCTTCGGAACACGGACAGACCAACTTTACGCAGCTATGGCATATTCAGAGATTCAGCCTTATATGTTTGAGCCCGAATCGGATGAGGACACTGAATTGGAGGAAGAACCAGTCCAGCAAAGGCTGGATTTAAACGTTTCTGAATGGTAAGTATTTTTTAAATTTTTTTTTTTCTCAAACAAGCTGCCAAGGCTCACGCATTCGGAGTGAGTCTCTCGCATTGTCGTTCCTGTGCCGTAGTCAGCAAGTATTCAATCAAAGCGCATTGAAGAAATTCATTTGCGGAATTTAAGTCCTTGTGCAATAAGTTAATCCATTTCACATGCGTTATGGTGGATTTCCCCACTAGTGACACGGAAATCGATTATGACTCACGCTTTATAATTCTCATGCTTGTCTTTACTGAGGGATCGGAAGCAATGGAATTGCATTAAGATGTGTATGCAAATTATTTTGAAGGGGAAGAAACGGAATGAGAGTGGGGGGGTAGTGAGATACATGTGACATCATATGTATCCATTGTTGGCCCGTTTTCTGGCGGTCATTTTTAAAAGAGGAATTTATGTGAAACGGAGATGTTCAGAATGTCTAACACTTTTCATATGTTCTTGAATGCAGGCAGACTACCGTTATTCAACAACAAAAAAAACGGTTTTGGATTCTTGGTCACCTTTAACGGTCAGAACGTTCACCCTGCAATGAAAAGCCAGCAGTTCCCACTCCCGAGCCCACAACCTTATATTAACACTTTCCACAGCTTATAAGGAACAAGTACAACTCAATAACCAACCCAGTCTCACATTAAAATATGTAATAGTTACGTTGGTCCACAGCAGAAAATGTATTAGTTTCACAATAACACCTCTAAAATTGTGACATGCCTACGTTTTTTTGGCCTATCCTTTTCCAATGGCTTGCGGCAACATCAGGTGACTGCCAAGTTTCTTCCTGCAGAAACTAAAATAAATGGCTTACATTCCATTCATTTTCTGTTGAAAATGCAATATGTACGATAGTTTCAGCATTAAAATGCATTTATCCAACTTTTCTTGTGATAAATGTGCACTTTATTTTCATAATCTTTGTTCAGCAAATGCATATGATCTTTAGTTTGTTTATTATTAATAAGATTTGTTCAGGTTTCGCCAGCCAATTGTTGGAATGTAACGTTTTCCACAGTTGCTATAGTGGTTGCTACGGACGTTGCAATCGCTGAAACAAATAACGTGCATGTTGTTTTGCGTTGCATACCGGGCAGTCGCGGATAATGAAAGAATTAACACGTGATCCCGATATTTAAAAACTAATTACAAGCATGGCCATTCTCAGCTTCCATAGTTGGTTGAGATTGCCTGTAGTTAATAAAGTTGACAAAAAAAAAGAAACGATAAGAGAAGGTTGTAAATGCATCGCAGTTGTTCAGTGCGTATAATTCTTATTTTGACACTTTTGAGCTCAATGAATCCGCTTCAAGACGATGACGCCATATTTCTCGCTGATTTGCTCTTGAATGACTGCGAAGTAAGTAGCTATGTTAATTAATTTAAGGTATCATTAGAAATGATAGTCTGCAGTGCTGGCTTTTCAGAAATTACCTGTTGTTCGACATTCTTTCAAAATGTTATGCAGTCTGGCCTTATAGATATAAGGGATTACTGTAATTATATCATTACAGCACAGTACGTCCATTTAGCTGAATATGTCGAATGTCATATGACAATAACATTTTCATAACGAGATGTTTTTTGGTCTTCATCAATGTTGAGTAGCAATGGTATGTTCTGTCTTAATTGTTGGTTCAAGAAGGAGTACACACACAGCTGAAGGATCGAGAACAGGAACGGACCAGGTCATCTGGCTTGAGGAGGACCAGGATGGGCTTCCTCTCCCAAAAAGAGTTAGAACTGAGGAGACGTGGAGGCGAGGCTCAGCCACTGGTTGTTATTTATTTATTTATTTATTGTTGTTATCATCATTATTATTATTATTTAGTTCTGTTAGTATTCTTTAAGCAAAAATGGATATTCACAATATTACAGATACCGCCGGACGCATAGACCCCTCATGCACTCCGTCTATTTGTGTACAAGAAAGAGGAGCAGAGACAACCCAAAACTTAGGTTGTTTTTCAATTCCTGTACACTTTTTGCTTGTTTCCTCACTTGTCATGCTAAGTTTACCCAAGCTTACATCTGCACCTTTTTCTCCCTTCATTTTCAAGGCTCCCTCATTCAAGAAGTACAAGACCTCTTGGGTTATCCTTCTGAAGAACCTCTCTCATCACAGTGGAAGGATAGACAAACTGCTACCTTGGAAAAGTGGACTGTGTTAAGGCCTTTTATGGTTAATCAGATGTTGTCATCTGAGAAGCCCAAAGAGAGAGTCTGCCAACACTGTACTCATAAGGCTGCAGTAGTGACATGTTGAGATTGTTTGCCGAGACCACTTAACTGCCCGGCCTGTGATTATGCCGTACACGAGTCCATGGTGCTCCACAACAGAATGTCCACGATTGAGGGGTTCCTCAGGCCACTGCCACCATCCACACACATCCAGGGAGATGAGGGAGGAAAATTCTCATACCATGAAAAAGGTATGAATCACTTGGGATGTTTCAGTCTATTTACTAAAATTGTCAATAGAAGTAAATCCAAAAAACATGCTTGGTGAAATTTAAGCTTTATCTCATTGAAAGAAAACCTCCGCTGTTGATTGTTGGTTTTGATTTTACTATGTAAAATGTTTATTCCCCTCCTAGAATGCTTTTTACTGGTCATGCTCCCCTCCTGCATTTGTTCTATTGGGCAGACAAGTGTTTCCATGGGAAAGCAAGTCATTTTGATTGGAACGAATGGTGAGGATTTTTCAAAGATTTTTTTTTTGTATTGTCTGTTTAATTGTTTGTGTATTGGAATAATTATTTTTCTCACATTGGAGGGCGATACAATCTGTCCATACCATATATGAGCTGCTCCTGTGGAAGGAATTGATCAGTGCGTATAAGTGATCTGGTAAAGTGGCTACTGGCCAGCCACAGTCCACTTTGAAACCTTGTATGCAGTGGATTTGTTCACTACGTACGAGGATCTTTTGTTAGCATGCTTGAACACTGCATGAAACTCTTTGGACGGGTGAGTGCAAATACCCACTACTTGACATGAGCTTCGAGTATATTTATGGTATGATTTTATAATATTTATTTATTTATTTGCCATCAGAGTGGTAAGATATGTGGGGACACCAAGCAGAAGGCATTTCTGGAATGGACCTATGCCAAATTTGAGGTTGTGAGACAGTCTCAGGTGCAGCATTTTCAATGCCCTGCATGCACACCCTCCAAGTTGGCTGTTGCAGTAGATGGGAACCCCAAGCTATATCGGTTTAAGGGTCAGCCAGGGTGTGTAGAATTCTTGTCCATTAACATGCTGTAGTGCCATAAATACTGCTGTACATTTGTAAGTTTAATCCATATTTCTGCATTTTTTTTAAAGACCTGATGGATTTTTTTGCAGAGTTTTTCTGGCCAAGGATGCTGAAGTGTCTTCTTTTGTCAACTATATCCACAGAAAAACAAAACACGTAAAGTTAATTTACTTTTTCCATATTTTGCGATGCAAGTTCTTTTACTTCTTATGAATTTTATGCATTAATATCAAAACCCCATCAATTGTTACACTACTAATATTTACAGCTTAATTTATACTGTTCAACTTTGTCTGCATGTCTGTATTTGACTTCATCTGTTTTAGAATCCTGTGAAAGGAGGATGCGGTACAGGTCAGTGGTTGGCAGCGCACGAGTCCGCCAACAAGTCTGCAAGCAAAGTAGATGAGGAAGGCCTCGAGGTTGCTGTCTGCCGTCATGGGGTTTTGCTCAAGGGATTGAATATGTTTTGTGGAGAACATGCGTCAATTTCTCTCCATTATGCATGCTAAAGCACATTCATGGACATGTGAGGTAATGATTGTACAACACGTTACTCTTTGTTCTCTGCCCTCTTCCTGTTTTCCAAATGGAAATTTTCAAGTAAATGTCGTAGCTGCAATGGGGAGGACGTATTCAAGAAGGAGCAGGACCAACAATAGGGGAGGAGGTTGAACAGGTCAACAGCCTCCTCTCCCGGGCAGCCGTATGTTCCAAGTACATGTCAAAAGCTGGTGAGTATTTTTCACGCTCATGTAAATTATTGCAGTTTTTGGTTTCATGGCCCTAAATGCATTGTGTTTGAAGTTCGCAAAGAAATACTTACCATCCAAGTAAGTGGCTGGAACAAGCGGAAGGCAGAAAACCTTGACCAGACATTGGCTGAAAGATACATCAAGATACTGACCAGACCAATGTAACTCCTTTGTTCTAACTTTGGGTCAACTTTTTGGGGCGGCACTGTGGGGCAGTGGTTAGCAATGCTGCACTGCCACAGCAGGAAGGTCCTGAGTTTGATTCCCAGCCGGCCAGCCAGGATCTTTTCATCTTTTCTGTGCAGAGATAGCATCTTCCTGTGTTTGTTGGGTTTTCGTCAGGAGGTCTGGTTTCCTCTCTCAGTCCAAAGAGATGCAAATATGTGAACTGGAGATGGTAAATTGCCTGTTTGTGTAAATGTGTCTGTCTGTGTATCTTCCCTGCGATTGACTGGTGACCAGACCAGGGTGATTCTCTGCCCTCTGCCCAGTGAGCAGAAGCGGCTTGGAAAATGAATGAATGAATTAAAATGTTTTGTAACTCTGATTTTTGTTTTACATTTGTTTACAGACTGTGCAAAGGATTACAGAGGCAACAAAGGACCTTGAGCAACTCACCAATGAGTTTTCTCTACAGGAAGTTCAGCAATGGGTGTCAGGTGTTCTGCAGTGGACTAAGAGTACTTTGAAAAAATGTCATTTTTGCACAATTCAGTGTCTCATTTGGCTCTTTTCTGGTGTAGGGGTTGGTTGTAAACTGAAATTGGCATGAATTCATTTTATATTTCTCTTCACAAGGAACAATCAGTCAAAATGACTCACAGAAAACCATTGAAGTACTGTATTTGAGCATCAAGCAGCAAAAGTTTCAGCTGTATCATCAGACTGGTGAGACTAAAAAATGCCACCGCCAATGCAGATTTGTTTGTTTTTTATGATGTGATAAAGTGTATTCACTAGAATTTTATACATAATTAAAATAGCTTACCCAAACATATCACCAAGACCCCCCTGCCCCCCAAGTCCCTAAACCAGTTTAAGTAAAAGATACCACCCTCAACAGCTTGTAAAAAGTTAGTTCAATCAGGAGAGACTTGAGTGAAATCAAGAAAAATTTTGATATGCGTTGAGCATAAGTAGAATTCAATTCAATTCAATTTTATTTATATAGCACTTTACATAGAGAAAAGGGCAGAGCCCAGACTACCTGTAGGGAGAAAAAGCCTCGAACAGTGGTGAGAAAAAACTCTTCATTGAGGAGAAATCTCAGGAGGAACCTGGCTATTCTGGGGAAGCCCATCCTCCGCTGGCTGAAAAATAAATTGATGGTAAATTAGGGATGAGAGGATCAGGACAGCAGGAAGACGGCAGTCAGAATTACCATGCTTAAAATCAGACAAGTCTTCGGCACTTGGACCCTTCGGGAAGACTCGTAGAGCAGGAGCACGGCTCAGAGCAGCAGCAGGAAAATCCCCTGAAGAGTCCAGACACTGGTGGCGGTGGTGGCTGAAGGCTGACAAAGCTGGAGCGGCAGTACGGAAGGTCTGATGGAGCAGGGTGGCGTTGGGGAGGAGGAGGGTCAGCGAGCGGCAGCATGAACGAACTAGAGCAGAGAAAAAATGACATTTTTTTAAAAAAGACAGCAACATAACGATTGGCTAGCGATGCGACTGAGGTGTACCACGGTTGAATGGAAGAGATCAGCTGCTACACCAGCTGACTGCTCAATTGACAGCCCCAGACATTGACTGCAGAGGTTTATGGGCGAGCATGCGAGTGAATGAAAAGAAAATAAACGGAGGTGACGTGCGCGCGAGAGAGAGAGTCTTCCTGACTGAACTTTCGCTAAGCTTCATTACAATGCTGGGATGGTCTTTTTTTAAATGTTTCTAAAACATTTCTCTGTTTACATCTGGACAGGAAGACAAGATTTGACTTGTGACATCCTCCATCGCGTTTATACATAAGACTTGTGATTGTATGGTCTTGCATTACATTATACCATTACCTTCTTTTGGTTTGGCATGTACTTGACAGCGCTTTAATTGTTCCTTTGAGTCTTGTTGAGTTTTGGTGAAAATTTGATAAAATTTCTGGCTTGGGAAAAATTTTTTAAACTTTTTTTTTAAAATTCAATATGGCGAAAAAAAATTTTGGTGGAAATTAATGTCACGGGGTACGTTGAACTTTATGGGTCCGCGAGGTAGCGATCTGGAACCAGGCGAGGTGCCAGGAATTGCAATAAAAAAATAAATTTATTGGAAAAAGGCGAACCCCGCAGAGCAGGAAGACAGCGGTACAAAGTCCACAATCAAAATCAAAATCCACAGGCGTAATCCGGGTAAATATAAACAGGGCACCAATCACAAAAAACGAAGTCAGACAAAAAGAGGTTCGATACACAGAGATAGCAAGTAATCCAAAACAGAGCCAAAATCAGTAATCAGGGACAGTCCAGTCAGAAGAGATTCACGAGATTGGCGAAAACAAAAGCGTGCTTTTGAGCAAACCAAAGAGCGTTCTGATGAGAACTGCTGTGAGAAGACTGCTTAAGTACACTCAAGGGAAGTCACATGCTATGATCAGGGACAGGTGAATGGGATCAGACTAGTGCGATGAGGAGCAGACGAGGAGAACCTAACCACATGAAATTGGCAAAAGCAAAAACGGACAGGAACACGAGACATTATGACAAAACACACAGCTCCGGTTAAGGTTCTAATGTGCACAGATAATGAGAGGCAGAAAAGAGTGGAGCAGGTGCGGAGGATCCACGCTGAATTGCAGCAAAGACAAAGAAGGCAAAGAGGCGGAGACTAGAATAGGCCAGTGCTGAGAGCTTGTTAATCCAATTAGTAAGTGCAGCTATACAATCCTGGTTAACAAGTTAGTAAGTTAGTATTATATATACAATGTTAGTCTTGGTTAGTAACTTTAACAAAATAACAAACTGTTAGTATTGGTTAGTAAAATAGAAAAACAAGAAGCGAAGGAAACAAGCGAGATTAGAAGGAATACTTGAAACCCAGAAACCATGAAATCACCTAAACATGTGACACGCGGGACTGAGGAGAAGCTGTAGCTTAACAAAAGACCAGACAGGGGAGACAAAGTGCAATGAAGGGCATGGGCAAAGACATGGACCGGAATCTGGCAGGGCAAAAACAAAAACATGGCAAGGAACAAAACTAAACAGAACATGGCAAAACCCTGTGAACATGAAACTTATAATCAGGGCATAGCAGAATCATAACAGGCATGGCAAGAATCATTACCTGGCGTGGCAGAATCATAGCAGGCATAGCAGAATCATAGTGTGGTTAATTTCATTTGGTTGTAAGTGGTGTTACATCCCCTTTACCCCCTCTACTTGCCATAAGTTCCGAGGACACTCCGGAAGGACAGATGATACGAGAGAGAAAGGAACTTCACAAACTAGCCAGCCACTATATTTGTTTATATTTGTGTTGCTAATTTGTGATGGATCATAATTTTCCATTGTCACTGGCTGCATGTGAGGAAGCTATCCCCATAAATTTTGTATGTATGGGTGATCTAATCGGTGCATCCTCTCTGAGTAACATATCATTGGTGTGACTATACATACCATGGTTTATTGCAAGTTTTTTGTGCTCATGCAATGACTGCAGTGGTTCGGTATATCCATGTTTATGACAATGACTTCAAATGCATGAAACCTTATACCTCATAAGCAAAACACCTATTGATCAAGATATGATATGTACAGGCCAAAGATCAAATTCAGCTTAGTTATACTGTAAATTCGTACAAAGTTGCGATTTACACATCACTAACGTAAAAACGGTTGCACCACGGTTTTAAGTTGCAACATAACTCGAAGTCGTGCCAAAATAGTCAAGCATGGAAGTTGACAAAGTAAAAATTAGCACACTCCTCCTATTTGAAAAAAGATGTTTTTATTCTACCAACATTTCAGTCTTATAGCTTTTTCAAGATTATGCAGTAGTGTGCAGTGATAAACTTTCAAAAAAATGAAGATCGTCGGAAACTAAGTACTATTCAAGTATTTATTTCATGTAATATTGGATCATGTTGAAAATAGAAAACAGATATAATATATAGTAAAACAAAATAATAATGTCTTTTTTTTTTTGAGTGAAAAGGTCAATATCTAGTGTGGCCACCCTTTGCTTTGATTACAGCATTTAATCTCTCTCAGGCATAGTTTTCCCTCTTTTTTTTAAATTTCCTCACTCGCTAAACCATTCCATATGGTTTGAAGTTCATTCAAAGAGATTCTTTTGACTTTGAGCAGCCCAAGTCATAACTTTTATGTCACTAGATATTTCTTTCCAAGTGAGATAATTCTTGCACAACTTAGAAGTATGTTTAGGGTCATTATCTTGTTGAAAATAAAATCCCCTGACCAATCAGTCTCTTTCCAGATGGCAATGTGTGCCTCACAAGGATGCTGTGATACTTCTTGATCCATGATTCCGTTGATTTTTATGAGATCACGGCTCCTTTTGAGCAGACTGAACCCCAAACCATAATATTACCACCTCCATGTTTTACTGAAGGGGTTAAACAGTCATTATTGAAACTCCAACTCTACAGTGCCAATAAGTTCTGCATATGGGTGAATAAATTTCAAATTTTGATTAATCGGTCCAAAGGACTGGTTCCCAGTCCATTTGTGTCCAATCCTTGAACTCAAGTCTGTTTTGATGTTGCCAGCTCTTGGCAGCAACACGACCAATCAGACCATTTTCACTCAAGCGTCTGGAAATAGTAGATCTTGATACTTTCATCTCTTCACTTCAGCACGATTAATATCATCACAGAGTTGTCGTGCTGTCAACTGCCGATTTTTTTTTACTTGTCATACAAAAATTACAGACATCAGGCATAACACTATGACACTGCTCAAGGTTTACTTCACCTTATATGCGAGACAACAGACCATCAGAAGTCATTTTTGCAGAACAATGTTACTCAACCCAGTTTAAACAAATTTTTTAGCATCAATAATCATGGAATGAGTCCTCAAACATGCATTCATGCTATGCAAGCATGTGGTGGTGGTGGTGTAAGATCATCACTGCATACTACTGTAAGCGATGTTTAGATTCAACAGGGCTGGCAGTAATCATGCCTGGTGATGTCTAGTGAAATTGAGCCCAGTGTCAATTAAATTTGTTTAATTGGTTGATTTAATAAATAACAGAATTACGTTTTTTCAGATAGGGCCAGGTAGGGTTGGACAGCTTTTTTCCTTCAAAAAAAATCATCTA